CACTGGCCACCTAACGAGGCCCCACTATCCCCTACCATTTTCTACCTTCCTCTAAGTGATTATTCTAAACTGGATACATCACGCTGTTCCTTGGGCCCCTTTGTTCAAAATCCTACCCTTTGTCCTAGTGTTTGGTGCTGTCCTAGTTTGTCTCCTCATTGCTGTAACAAAATACTTTGACCACTACCAACTTGGGGAGGAAAGGGTTTATTCAGCTTACATCTCCCAGGTCACAGTTCATCAGGGAGCTCAAGGTAGGAACTCAGGACAAGAACCTAGAGGCAGGAGCAGAAGCACAGGCCATGGAGGATCATTGCTTACTGACTTGCTCCCCTGGCCCCTGCTCAGCCTGCTTTCCTATGCAAAACAAGCCCACCTGCCCAGGAGGCGGGGGGCACCAACTACAGTGGGCTGGGCCCTCCTATATCACACAACAATCAAGAAGATACCTCACAGGCATGGCCACAGGCTAGGTCAATGGAGGCAATTCCCCAGTTGAGGCTCCCTCGACCCAGGTGTGTCAAGTTGACACTAAAGCTATCCAGCACAATTGACCCCTTGTCCACTTGACACACAAACACATCACTAATAAACCTTAACCTTTCCAATTCTCATCCCCAAGATATGATGTTAATATCACAACATAAGACAGTATAACCTTAAAAGCCCCACAGTCCTTAAAAAATCCTCCAAACACTCAAAAGTCCGTAGTCTCTTTTAAAAGTCTCTTAACTGTGGGTGGGTTTCTGTAAAATCCAAAATAAGTCCTGTCTTATTTCAAAGGGAAGAATCTGGCACACCTAAGCAAAATCTAAGTCCAGCAAAGTAGCTCAAGGCTGGACATCTGGGATTCACTCATGATCTTCTGGGCTCCAAAAGGTTTTGGCAGCTCCACTTTGGCTCTGCCATACACAGCATACACAGCTCATCCTGCAGGCCCAGGCTAGCTCCATTCCACACCTGCTACTGCCCTTGGTGGTCATTCCATGATCCTAGCATTTCCAAAAATCTGGGGTCTCCATTGAAACTGAGGCTGCACCTTCACCAATGGGCTCTTCTGGCATCTCAGGGAACAAAGTCTCAGATTCCATGACCCCTTCAATCCTGGGGGTCTTCAATGCAACTGAAGCTGCACTTTCACCCTTTCCTGGCCTCTCGGGGTCCCAAGCCTCAGAAGCTCTGTTACCTTTTTATGCTTTCAACACTAAAACCATACAGGAGACTCTTACACATTTCTGAGTCTTGCTTCCAGCTTGAGATGGAAGCTTGGGCCCCCTCTGGACCATAGCTTCTGTGCTGACCCTGAGAAAATACTTCCCAAAAGATTCTTTTCCTCAGTGATGCTGGTTTCTTGTTACTCACAGCTGATTCTTCAGCCCCAGCTGACCAGAAGCCACAGATTCTCAATTCAAAATATCACAGAAACAGCCCTGATAGTTTCCGCCTCCCTTTGGAGCTTCACAAGCCAGGCCTCCATTGTCTACAACTCTATCAGCAGAATTCGTCCAAGCTCCACAGCAACAAACTCTGAGCACTTAATGGCTTTTCCAGCCCAAAGTTCCAAATGCTTCCACAATCCTCATCTCCCATAAACAACTGAGTCAGGTCTGTCACAGTAATACCCCAATTTATGTCCTAGTTTGTCTCTTAATATTGCTGTAACAAAATACTCTGACCACTACCAACTTGGGGAGGAAAGGGTTTATGTGTCTTACACCTCCCAGGTCACAGTTCATCAGGTAGCCCATAGTAGGAATTCGGGGCAAGAACCTAGAGGCAGGAGCTGGAGCACAGGCCATGTAGGAGAAAGCTGCTTGCTGACTTGCTCCCCTGGCCCCTGCTCAGGCTGCTTTCTTATGCCACACAGGCCCATCTGCCCAGGGGTGGCATAACCCACAGTGGGCTAGGCCCTCCCACATCACACAACAATCAAGAAGACACCTCACAGACATGGCCACAAGCCAGTTCAATGGAGGTAATTCCCCAATTGAGGCTCCCTCAACCCAGGTGTGTCAAGTTGACACTAAAGCTATCCAGCACAGGAGCCTTTTAAATCTGACCTCAAGCTACTTTTCCTCTATGAGCTCTTTAGCCCACCCATCCCAGAAATGAGCATTTCCCTTAGGGTGCCTTCATGATTTTTTTTCATGTAGGTCTTCTGGCAAGAGTACCTATTCTGCCATTTTTCTGACAAGCTCCTTCTCAGGAGCACAATTCCAAGGCTATTTCTTCTGAAGGACTTTTCCTAACTTCTCAAGAGCATATTTGTAAGTGTGTACATTAAGCCACTACCCCCGTAAGTTGTTGTTGCATAGATCATAACTATAAGGACATTTCTCAGTAATATGATCTGAGTTACATCCCAAGTTTCTGACTTGCATCCAGCTTTTTCCTTTGTGTTTTTTCAACCATGCTGCACTGAGTAATTATTACATATATATTCATATACCAGGCATTAAGCAGACATACATCAAGTTCACAGTCCCTACTTCAACTACTCAAGCTAAACAAATAAAATGGTATTTCAGAGCAATATAAGCAACAACGGAGGTAAGTTCAGGAGCTGAGCAGGCATTTGGGGGAGAGACTTCATCTGGACAGATGATATCCGATGATGAAATCTCTGAGCTGAGCTGTCTGAGACACCCAATTGGGAATGATTCTGATGGCTGTCATGGGCTTGCTGACAGGAGACTAGACCCTATTCCCATATGCTCTGCAGGTGTTTAACAAATATTCAGGACTTGAATAAACAAAAAAGACTTTGTTTTGGAATCTGTAACTGATATTAATGTGTTCCTTCTCAATTCTCCCTGCTACTTCCTGTAGGTAGTTATCTCAATTTTCTCCACCTTAGATCTAATCTCAACTTAGCCAATAAATAATACAAATCATAAGGCAAATTCCACAAATTATTTTCTTGTATCCCAGTCCTGTCTCTCTGCAGCAGAGGAAACTGGTGAACAGGGTTGCTGGCCAAGGCACTAGGCATGGACGACTAAGCTTCATCCAGAGTCAGGCAGTCTTTCCTAACTGTTGTTCTCCCCGACTAAGCAGGAAAAAGAAAAATGCTTTACCCACTGCCAGGTTAAGTTCAAAGTTTACTAAGTCCAGAGTGACCTCCTGAAATGCACAGGGCATACATTAATCACCTCTACTGGTGGAGTTATTCCTAAGTAAAGAGAGAGAGGGAAGAATTGACCAGAATGAAACAGAACTTTGTTCTGTTCACTGCAAGATTTTCAGCTGGTATTTGTCAAATGGATTCATTTTAAAAGTAACTAAGAATGTTACATAAGTGCATTATGTATATTTTACTCTTTGCCTTATTATACCTTTAAGTACAGTATGGTCTTCAGGGAACTGTCTTCTGAAGAGAGGAAGGCAGCATGGCAGCTCCACAGGTCAAACTTGGACTCATGCTTCCATGAGCTCAATCCGAACTCTGCTTATCAACAAGCAAGGGACCTTAAGAAAGTTAAGGACTCTTTTTATGCCTGCTGTTTTGTCTTTGACTGAGATTTGTTATATGATTGAGTTAACATTAGCTAGGTAAGAAAATAGACATCACATAATAAAAACTAAGTATATGTTAAGATGTTAGCCTAGAAAATTGAGAAATCAGATACTGCCCATCACCATGCCTTTACCTTCTTACTATCTTCTGCAACCCCCAAGAATCTGGGGTGCATTTGGAAGCACAAATATATAATTAAATCGGGAAATCACTCTGTTCATCTTCTGTTAATTTTCACAGTTTCTAAAGCAAGAGGTTTATTCTTACTAAGGACTGGTTTTCTTTAACATACCTTTGAAGGTTATTGTGGACAAATGGCAATGGGAAAGAATAGGTGGCCCCACCTTTTGCTAGGAGGCAGCTTTTTTATTGGTTTCTACTCTGGTTCACTACTGTGTAAATAGAAGAGAGCTGACCCAACAAGATGCTCTCAACTATTGTCCAAAGGTTCTCAGTACTGCTGAGTGTCCCCTTAAGATTTCTTCCTCAACGCAAAATATCAAGATAAGGCCAGTTCTTGATCTTCAGAGTCATCTTAGGGTGTACATGACCATCTTCTTGGATACTAGAACCGTCAACAGGAAGCTATCAGAAATTTAATGAGAATATAAGAAAACGTGAATCTGGGTGTTGAGTGGTTAGATATCTATTAAAAGTGTACTGTGGGGGCTGGGAGAGATGGCTCAGTGATTAAGAGCACTAGCTACTCTTGCAGAGGACCTGGCTTTTTTTTCCAGCACCCACATGGCAGGTAACAACCATCCATAACTCTGGTTCCAAGGAGATATCAATTAAAAGTGTACTGTGGGGCCTGGAGAGATGGCTCAGTGATTAAGAGCACTAGCTGCTCTTGCAGAGGACCTAGGTTTGGTTTCCAGCACCCACATGGCAGTTTACAACCATCCATAACTCCGGTTCCAGGGGATTCAACACCCTCTTCTGACCTTCGTATAATTTAATGATATCTATAGAACTGAGAACAACAGAGCTCACCATAAGGTGAATTTGTTTGAGGTCAAACCTGAATGAAGGCGTTTTCCTAGCAGTGGCCCCTCAGAATGGGAACAAAAGCATAGCTAGATGATTTATCTCTTCTTTTATAAAGAATATTCTATTATGAAATTGAAATCGATTCTGAATGGTTGTCACTGCTACAGCTGTAACTTGTGACTCACTTTTGGAGAAGTCGCAAAAGCTTG